GTGCTGTTAAAAATGAAAACCCAGATTTTTGCTGAAGTTGCAAGTGCATTGTACTTCCTTGTGGTTTGTTGTGAGAAGTTAATTCACTGAGGCCTCTGGAAAAAAAATCTAAGCTTTCTATGTGAGTATTTGAGCATGCATTAGAAATGGTTTCTTGCTTTTATGCAGTAGGGATATTTGGCTTTTTGATCTCTTTAACCGTAAGATAGGCTGTTACGGTGTTCCGCGACCTGTAATAATCAAGTAAAATGCTTCCTTTGTGTGGTGTAGAAGCAGAGAGTTTGTAAAGCAGATACTGAAAGGCATACAGAGTTCTCAGTGAGGGTTACTGCTACTGCCAAAATAGTTATCTTGAATGTTGGTACAACTAGGTCGGGGGGGGGAATAAAAAAATCCATCATCTCTCCACCCCATTCATCCTTTGCGTTTTTAATAGAGTAAAATGAAGTTAGAATAATTTGTCTTCAGTGGGTTAAAAGTAGAATAGGATTAGAAAACATGCCTTTCCATCAAGAAAAGGAAAAAAATAGACGTTAATGTGATTCTCATTAAATGCCTTTGTTTTCATGAATCAAAGGTATGAGGGTAAAGAATCATGCCGGCATTAATGGGTTGATGGTTTTCAAATCTACTACGGAATAACAAGTGAAATCTTTAATTTTCTGGAAGAGTGGAAAAATGCTCATTTCGCTTAATCCAGTGTGTTCTCTTCTTGAAATGTTTGCTCTATGTTTATTTTTCCAAAGCACGACTCCAGATTTACTCTCTGCTAGTAACCTTCTTCAGAACCTTCACCCTGGCAAAGCTTCCAGTTTGGGGAGTAGGGCTGCCATAAATGTGGCCTCCTGCACACGTACGTACTCCAAGCTCACTTGCTTTTGGGGTGTAGCTTTGTTGGTAATTCAACTAATAAATCCTAAACATAAATCTAAGCTTTTCCCAAATACGGGATTCTCTCCAAACCACTTCTGTGGTCAGTGACACTATAATTTTTATTCTGCTTCTTGCCCGCGCTTTACGGCAAAACCAGGAATATTTTTCCTCCGTTTAGCTACAGCCTGTATGGAGAGCACAGCAGGGCCTTGGGTCCTGCCTTTGTTCGTTTGGTTTCTTCTCTGAAACCAGGCGCACGGTTCCTAGTGCGTGTGATCTAGTTGGGCAGTAATGAAGGCTCTTCACTTTCTGGTCCTGTTTTTTGGAGCTTGACAGCTTTATATTATGTTTAATCAGCTCCTTCAAAAGTGAGGCCAGGGTTGGATCATTTTTACTCTTCTCACAGTCTGCCTTGCAGTAAAGCTTGTGACCGTGTCGCTGTGCAGCCTGATCAGCTCACTGATTCAACAGAAAACAAACCAGTGCTAAAAAGCTAATTTTCTACGAGACTTTAAGTTGGTTAGTTGTACTGTGCTGCTGTGTAATTGCTGGATTTGATGCAAGAGAGAGAAAGGGGAAGCGGTTGGAGGGTTGGGAGGCTACTGGGTTTGCTGCTGACTTACAATTAGCTTGGGATGGCATGCGAAATTGCACACTGATTGTCCGTGTGCCTGCTTATGTTGTGATTATGATTAATTCTTCAGGTATTGATTTCACTGGCCAAAGCTGGTGTTACTTAGGACTAGTAGGTGTTCCCACGTACTGTAAGATTTACCTTTCCAAATAGCATGTGTGGTATTAAAATGATTTTTTCAAAAGCTTGTGAAGTTGTAACAAGTAACAAAACAAACTTCTCTTTTTTTCTTTGCTTGGGGAGGTACACATAGGTGAGGCATTTGCTTGTATAGCGTACTTGAATTTTAAAAATATTTTGGTAAGGCCTTTCATCCCTGGCCTTTAAAGAAGCAAAACTCTCATAAGACAAGAATGTTTTTCATAGATTTACAGCGGGTTAAAAGATGGGAAATGGGGTTAGGAGCAAATGGTTGGTTCTCACAGTGAAGGGTTATTCCCAGTGAAGTGTCCTGCCAGAGATCAGTGCTCTTGCAAATATTGCCTTGTCTAGTTCATTTCTAAATAATAAGGTGGCCAAATTGAACCAAATTTGTGAAATTTGAAACGAACCTTTAATTGAAAGGAAGGGAGAAAGATTGAGATCTGCTGAGTGATAAAATGGCAGATGAAATAGCCTCAATGCATTTGCATAGGGAGAAGAAATGACCCTGGTTTCATGTGCACGAGTAGAGGCACAACTACCAAAAGGCAAGTAGACTTTTTAGAAAGAAAGTAGTAAAGAATGGGAAATCCTAAGCAGTAAATGACTGTGTTGTGATATAAACTTCTGTTACTGCCAAATCTGAAATGTAGAGTGCTTGGTACTGCATATATCTCAAGAAATGGAAGTGTAATAGATGGATGGAAAGACATCAGGGATGATCGGAGATAATGGAGCAGCTTCTAAATAGAGGGATTGAATTTCACGAGATCCTCAGTTCAGAAGGAGGTGGCCAATTTCTGTAAAATCATGAGTGACATAAAGAAGCTGAAGGTGACTTGTTCTTTCTTAAAAAGCATGCCCCCTGTCTACAGCTTGGGGAATAAATGTCCAAGTAAGCTGAAGTACTTGTTTGTGTAGCGTGGTCACTGCACCACTGTTGCGTACTTGGTGAGGGTGAAACGGGAAATACAAGTGGCTTCAGAAAAGGGGTTGGTAGAGTGTGTGTGCCCATTGCTGGCTGGTAGAGCCTCCACCACAGGTTGCATCTAAGATGCCTAAGCTGCTGGTAATATAAGGCAAGGGAATATATATATTCTTTTCTGATACTCTTGACATGAGGATTTGTGTCTGAGGATGTTGGGCTTGGTGGACTTTTTATCTAACTAGTTTAGGAGGTTTCGTAGTTCTCGTTTTTGATTTTTTGTGTTATTTACTGCTTTTCTGGTTGGGTGATAAGCTCAGCCCTTATGGGGGGGTTTGCATTTTTCTGATCTGGGATCCATATCATCAGTATAGTTGTGTTCATGATTAGGCTGGCACTTGTATCCTCTGCTGGCTCCAGTTTTACCAGCTTAAGAGGTTATTGCTTGCAGTCTGTTCTTAGTTCTTTGTGACCATCTTTCTACCAGATGCTGCCACCTCCTTGTTTCAGCTTTGTCTGTGAACTTGCCTTAATCTATTACTGACAAAAAGAAATGGGTTAGGTTAAATAAGATGGGGGGGGGGGGGGTGGGGTGTTGGGTTTTTTTTATTTTATTTATTGGTGCCTCACCTTAGAGAGTGATCACAAGGGCAGGTGAACCAGCAGATTCAGACAACGTTAACTTCTGGAGTGAAGCAGCAGTCGTGAGCACCTGGGAATGTGTGTATAGGATCCATTTCACATGCTGGGTTTATAATTCACAAACCTGGAAATGCCCCAGGAGAAGATGCCCCTTTTTATTCCTGTTGCTACTAGCCATCTGACAACAGACCGACATTCTTCTACAGCTGGTTTTACATATTGGGGGAGAACACCAGGATGATGCAGTTTACCTGAAGTTTAGTGTTGCTCTCATTTAAAGTTAATTTTCCATGATGTCATAATAATTGTTGGCAGAATAAAAAAAAACTAACTTCAGTGGAACAAGATAAAATACAGTAACTCATTGGACCTGTTCTGTGGTAGTTTAACTTGCCCAGAATGGTTTTCTAGGAAGGGTATATGCCTTTATGCTGAGAAAGTCATTATAGACCTGCGTGTTGTCCAAGTTGACGCTTAATTCTGCTTTCATTCTAAATGGCACAATAGTAATTTGAGAATGGTAACAATTTTAGGCTCGAAATCCGTGCTTTACTCCTCTCCCCTGTCTTTTGCAAATGATAATGTTGCTTCTTCAGAGGGTTTGGAGAAATGTTATTAGAGGACATCAAGAATGATAACAATTTTAGGCTCGAAATCTGTGCTTTACTTCTCTCCCCTGTCTTTTGCAAATGATATGTTGCTCCTTCAGAGGGTTTGGAGAAATGTTATTAGAGGACATCTCGAATGTGCAAGCTCTATTAATGTGGCAAGTTCCGTTACAGAATCAATGCTTAGTGTTCGTGCAACTGGTGAATATCAAAGACTATTCTAACTGTGTTAATGTAATAGCAAAATCTGCCAGTTTACTCAGGTAATGTATTCTAAAGCTTAATAGGCCTCTGTTTACTTGAAACAGTGACCTGAAATAAATAACTGAAACAGCATTCCAGCTCCAGAGCTTGTCCTTGGGTTTTCTTGCCAGTCATTTTGGTTTTACAATTCCATTTTCATATAATTAAAAATTCTTCTGTGCTGTGTGAAAGACACATGGAGCAGAAACTGTAGATCTGATGAGTGTTGTCAACTGTACAAAGTAAATGCATTTGGGAAGAAAAAAATTCCCTTCTAATGTGCTTAGCATTAAAGGTCACCTTGAGTTGGAGTGTGTTGTTCTGGTGCTCATTTCTCTTCCCTAGGCCTCAACTGAATGCAGAGGACTGTTCAAGATCTCTGTCCTGAAATTGAGCGTGCTTTAAACTTACCTGAGGTTTCAGAAAAAACTTGGTTAATTTTTAGGAAGTTTGCTATCCTCTCAGTACGCGGATTCCTACAGCAATGGTAGCAGACTGCAGTTGTCAACTGTTTGAGGGAAGCTAATGGCTGCTAAGCACGGAATTTCTAATGTAGTTTCATCTCAGCTCTGCAAGCTAGCATTGTAATTTCTGTGATTAAAAATTCTAGGTAGGTTTTACCTTGTTGGGAACTAAATCCATAAGTCATTTCTTGGAACTTGTTTCTGTTTCGCTTTTAAAATTTTGCATTTCCATCAGCATGGATATCATCTTGCTTTTGTCTTGTTCAGCAGTTCAGGTTTTTAATCTTCAATATTTAATATTACTTGTGAGAAGAGCAAGTTGTTTTCAAAATCAGATGTCCTGAAGAAATTCAGAGAGAAAATTCATCAGTTAGCTCTAGCAAAATTTCTCAAAAGTGTATGTAGATTGCTTTCCATGGAGGAATAATTAAAGACACAACTAACGCGCTTTGTTTTCTTTCCTTACTTAGGTCATGATTTTCGTTTTCTCATGTCATTCTCTTGAAGAGAGGAAATGATTGTAGTGGAACGTGTTACAAATAAGCCACTGATACGGAGCCTTCACAGTTCCGAAACGTTCATAGAAGAGCAAATATAGCCCTTTTTTGTTTGTGTTCTGGAATCTGTCTTGTTAAAAAGGGAAATAAAAATGACGACTTCGTCTATTAGGCGGCAGATGAAGAACATTGTGAACAATTATTCAGAGGCCGAAATAAAAGTTCGGGAAGCGACCTCTAATGACCCCTGGGGTCCCTCCAGTTCATTAATGACTGAAATAGCAGATCTGACTTACAATGTTGTGGCCTTTTCTGAAATTATGAGCATGATCTGGAAACGACTGAATGACCATGGCAAGAACTGGCGACACGTATACAAGGCCCTTACTCTGTTAGATTACCTGATTAAAACTGGTTCCGAGAGAGTGGCACAGCAGTGTAAAGAGAATATTTTTGCTATCCAGACGTTGAAAGATTTTCAGTATATTGATCGAGATGGTAAAGACCAGGGCATCAATGTGAGGGAGAAATCCAAGCAGCTAGTGTCTCTTCTGAAGGATGACGAGCGACTCAAGACAGAGAGGGCCCAAGCCCTGAAGACCAAAGAACGCATGGCTCAGGTGGCCACCGGAGTGGGTAGCAATCAGATCACCTTCGGCCGAGGCTCCAGTCAGCCAAACCTATCCACCAGCTACTCAGAGCAAGAATATGGAAAGTCTGGAGGATCCCCAGCATCTTACCATGGCTGTAAGTACAAGCAAACACACAGAAAAGAAGTTGCTCTTCCTTTTCTTCTGAGAGATTTTGTATTCTGATTTGCTGTTAGACACGAGAGTAAGTGGTGCCTGCTAGGAGGATTAGTATGCTGACTGCAAGGGGCTTTTTGCAGTGGCTGAGTCTTTGTAGGTCTGCTCCGTGACACTAATGTCTCTTCAAATGACTGGTTAAACGTTTGTTTTTGAGAGAGGGTGTGTGTGTTGATGTAAATCAATTTAAAAAGCAGTTGTTTACTGTCAGTTCGTAAAGGTAGCATTGTCAAGCTGCTTTTGTGAACATGTTCCAATGTTTGATGTGATAGGCCCCCAACCTCAGTAGGGAGAATGTTAATGGATTTTATTTGTTTCTAGTTTTAAAAAGAGTGCTTGAAAATTTGTTGTGTTGAGGTTTTTTTGTTAAGTATAATTCAAGAAAAAATAAGAAACACAGAGTATTTCCTGGATCATTTTGCTAGATATTTTCTTTTTGTTGCTGGTATTTTATTTTAGGAAGAATATTGGTATTTAATTTCCTTTACTGCTTGCTCAGCAGTTCTTAGAGGAGTAACTCTTTGAATATGTCAGTGTTTAAATATTTATACTATCAGCATTTGGTATGCAAGTATCAGTACTAAATACTATATTTCATTCTTTAAAAAAAATACGATGATGTGGGAAGAATGGGTTCTTTATCCACTGCTTGGGGGAACTCCCTGTCATGTTAGGAAGAGGCCTGATTTGGCACTAAATCCTTCTTAATATAAGTAATGATCTGATGAAAGCTGCTTTGGCTGGAATGTCAGTGGTTGTGGTCTAATTCTGAAGGAAAATCTTTTCTTTAAATGAATGCTTATAGTGTGTGGAGGACTGTAACTGAGCCAGTGTGGTGAATCGATTGAGCACCAGTTTTAAGAATCTTAAGCTTGTCATGTCCTGCGTCCCAAAGCACTTCTCAAGTAATAAATACGTGAATGGTGTCAGTACCCCTGACATGTACAGACATTTTCTGTGGAAGGCAGTAGGAGGTAGCAGGACAAATCAAGCTAGGATGAAGAAAATCTCCGTCCATTTAAAGCTATGGAGAAGAGCAGGAAAAATTATTTTTTTCAGAAGGAAATAGTTTTAGGATGCAGGGTTCAAAAAAAGTGCATGAAGGTTTCCAGGTATGAGGCTTTTTATCTTGTCTCTTAATTAGCAGTGGAATAACAAACATCTTAGTTTTTCTGTAATAACCATACTTGAGCATGGATTCAGTGTGAATTTTTAAAGAAGAACATGTATATTGTTATCACAACAATAACATTTTTTTCTCTTGAGGTCTGTCGATCTCTGTCGACTACAACAAAAATTCTTAATTTTGGAGATAGCTTAAAATGTTGTTGTTTTTAACTTATGCTGATGAACTGAAATAATGGTCACTAAGGTATGCTGAGCACACCTTTGGTTTGTTCCACAGGGTTATTTCTTCACCAGCTCTTAACTTTAATTAGTGCATGTAACTATTGTTTGTCATGTTAAATGCTACCAGAGGCTTCAAACTATTCCTCACAGCAAGGATTGAGCAATGCAGGGTGTGTTTCTGAATTGTTGTTCCTTAGATACTTGAAGAATTTTGATGGGGGACTAGATGTCAGGAAGCAAGTTTGGTTATTCTTTCAGTACAAAGTTGATTTACTGGATACTCTCATTTGCCCGCGTATGACTTAGCTGTGTATCTCTATTTGCAGGATTGCTTTTGAGGTAATGATTTCTTAATCTTTTTTTCTCCTCCCCCATAAGCATGTACCTAAGAAGCTTTAGAAATCTCAGGCCGCTTTTTTTCCTTTAGGGTCCTGCTCTGTTGTGGACTCTCCTGGACTTAATCTTTATCAGCAAAAATATGGACGGTTGTTAGTTTTTTATGATCTGTATCTTTTGAAGTTTTAATATGTTTCTTGTATGGTTTAATTGAGTATAGCAAAGCAAACCAGCACCTTAGAAAACAGCTGTGCCTAAGTGCTTCCGATAATGGAAAACTTTGTGTAGAGCTTTGTTCTTTATCCTAGGAAATGAGGAAGGAGTTTCATCAAAATCCAGACATTTAATCTGTTACATAAACGTAGGGTTATTCTTGTGCCTTCTAAATTTAATAGAAAAGATGCTTTTCATTATTTAAAGTGAAAGAGATTGCATCCATTGTGTTTTCTTTTATTCTATAATAATACCCTTCTTTTGTTCTGAAAATAGGGGTTCAGTAAAATATGTAAAAGGAATTAAGTTATGTTCAGCTCCTGGGAAATACTCTCCTTATAACAGTTTTAAGATGCGGTTGCTGTACTGTATATTCTGGTAGAATCGCCTTTCATTCCTCTGAGCCTTTGAAGAGGAGATCAGAGGCATTTAGATTTGCAATCTATAGTATGAGATTTGCCTATTAAAAATGTACATCTACCTTCTTTGCTAAATATTTCGCATGTCTTATTAACATTGAAATATAAATAAAGTTTGGGAGAGTGTAACAGCCTTTTTACCAACATAGCTAAATGAAATGTTTCATCTCTCAGTGTTTTGGTATTAGCACATTGTACTTTTGTTCCCTGCTAGACGCAATGGGTGGGGATTGCAGATTTTGAGAATTCTTAGCTGAACGCATTCCCCTTACTTGATAAGATTGTGTTTGCTATAAAATCTCGTCATTTTTTTAATACTTTCTTGCAGAAGAAAAGAAGCCTGAGCTGGCTGAAAGAGCGTAATAGTTTCTCCAGGACAGATCACTAGGGGAACAAGTAACTTCCAGTGGATAATGTGTCGGGGCTGTGCGTGAGGGATCTCTTCCCCCTTCTGTCAGTTACTAAAAGTGCAGTATTGGAAAGTCAGTGGACCCTTTTTTGTTCAGTTTCTTCAGAATGTTGAATTAGCTGCACTGTACAGCATTGACTGTAAACACTGCAGTGCTCAAACTACTGCTCTTCTCTAGCTTCTTAAGCATATGCGTAGGCTTGTATCTGAGAGTGCGTATAAGAATTGCTTTTTGTATTTGATGTTGAGCCAGAAAGGTTTTTCTTGTAGAGTTGCAGGTCTTTGTGTCCCAAATTTATCCTTTATGAAAAAATAAAAGCAGTATTGATAGCCTGTATAGTGTGAGAGAATTTGAGATGGAAAAGGATCTCTTGACTGATCATTGTCCCTCACTGCTGCAGGCAAGACACACTGGTGACTAAGGACATTTTCCCTGTTTCCTTGCAGATATTTTCATCTCATCTCTAACAGTCCTTTAGAAACTGTGGAAAGTGAAATGGTGAAGCATGATAGTTTTTAATAAAATCCTTTCCCCCAAAGCTTTGCCTTAATGACTCTGTTGGTCCTGAAGATCTCTGTGCTGTAAAGCTTGTATAATTCTAGAGAGTACATTATGGCATGTGAATATTACTGACTGTTGATGCAAACTTTTGTAGAAGTATGTTTTTGCCATCTAGTCTCGTAATCTGTAAATGGAAGCCGAGAGAGATACTGTAAAGCTAAAAGCAAAAATAGAGCTCCTCCCAACCTCCATCTTGTCAACAATTTCTGACATACTGGGGACAATTGGCTATCTTCTAACTTTAAGCTAGGGGCAATTAATGTTCAGATTAGGAGCTATTAAATATTCCATGGCAACATACATAAAAGTTTTCATTTATTTTGGAAAACGTGTCAATTGTATGGAGTTGCATGAAATCTGATACCGGGTTTTATTTCGCGTTAAGGGAATGTTCTTGTGTGGTGCTGAAATTAAACCTACTGGGGAGAGGAAGGAATATGAGGTCAGTATTTGAAATCTTTTGGAGCAATATTTCCCCACCCCTAATCTGGCTTCGTGTCTAAATATTGTCTTTATGCTAGACGTTAGTCACCCAGTTTTGAAAACTTCAGCCTCTTGTTCCTAGCCTTGTTTCATCTACAGCTGCCAATGACCACTTAAATAGGATTCTGGATTTATGGCTGCATGGGGAAAAGTAGGGTGTTCTTAATGTAGACCTCTTAAGTCTGAACTGTGATGCTGTTCCAAGCCTGGGAGTGTATTTGTTAGAGTTTACTGGTCTTGATAAAGTCCTTCATCTAGTAACTATCTTTTTAAAGTGTTCTTTCAGCAGGGGCTTACATGGAAATACTGCTCTGTTGCTACACTGGAGTTGTCATCATGGCAGAAGCGTAACCCACAGTCACTGCTGTGTGGCAGACAGTTTAGAGTACCTGCAAAACGCTGTGCTCGAGCACCTCGGGCCTGCAGAAGCTCTTAGGAGACGGGGCAGGAGTGTAGGGACTCGGATTACCTTGTTTTTTCTCAGCCGTCTTGGGAGCAGGTTAGTTGTGTTGTCTTTAGCGGACCTATCCGGATTGTCACAGTTGAGCTGTGGCTGCTCAGGAAGCAAGCTCCTTGTGGCTGGGGCGGTTACGGGAGTCGGAAAAATGATGATGGAAAAATACTCTACCTGGAGGGAAGTGACTGACAAAGCCAATTCCTTGGCACCCCTGCCCCCGGAAGATAGTGTGTTTGAATTCGTTTCAGCTTCGAAGGATCCCTGGAAAATGCTGGTCCTCTCCCTGTACTGCCTTCGTGTTTTAAAACTAAGTTTACTGAAGCCCCGCTTTTTAAAGAGGTCCAATCCTATTACGCCTAAACCAGGACCTACCTGTGTTGTTTTGGGTTGTACACATGTCCTTTCCTTTGGCCATCTGCTGCCTTAGGTTTTGGTTGCACTTAGAAATGTTGGCAGAGCAAGACTGGTGCGTGTTTTAATGTCCCGATTTCATTTACACAAACGCGGCAGAGTAGGGAACAACGCAACGTGCACAGTGTGACCTGATTTTAGAGGAGCACTTCGCCCGGAGGTAGGCCGCTTGGCTGAGAAATCTGATTCATTATACATACAACCTATTTGATAAAAGATTGGTGAAAGATGGACTGAAAAGGGCTTTTATGGATCTTGTGAAATGCGAAGTCTGTTAACTTTACCTGTAAAGATTTTGGGA